AACATAAGAACGAAGGAACACTGTTAAGCGACAGTCTACTGTATACCAACTTAAATATGGCAGTTAGGAGCATGTGGCCTATCAACTCTTGAAAATCCCTTGCTGGTTATTTCTTATAAAAATGTCCATTATGTTTACTGTTATATCAGTGTAATGTTAGCTTCTGTTTAGCAGTTCATCCATTTTTTATATAATTAAAACAAAGGACACGTTCACTTCTAAAATTGTAGCATTTATGTTTGCAAATAAATTTTATGTACAGTACAGTATATTTAAAAATGTGTTTCAGGAGGAAGAGGACATTTACAAGCATGCCTCAATTTCACTTTGGATGTAGATGCTAAAGGTGCTACTCTACCTGCTGCTTGGAAACTACAGGTACTATGTGAAATTATTTTAAAAAATAATTGTTTTCTCATCTGTATTTAGATTTTGTATATATTAATTTATGCATTATCTGTTCTGCTTACATTTTTGTCCAGATTGATCTAGAAAAGATTTATAAATTGATTCTTCCAAGTTGAATTTAAGAAATTTCTTTTTTTTAGTACATTAATATAAAACGATTGATACTTTGCATGTATTTATTTTATGATTTGCATGTACGTATTTGCTTTGCACAGACTGGCTAAGAATGTAGAGTGAAAAATTACATTTCAGCTAAGCTGAATTTCACTAATGATTCTCTTTCTTTTGTTTTATTAAAAGCATTGATATTTTATATTTAGTACTGTATCTTCGTCATACACATATGGTTTGCTTACATTTATTTTAAATTTATTGAGAAACATAAAATTACAAATTCCAGTACATTTCTGGTAAGCTGAATTTCAAATCATATTTCTCTTAAGCTTTTTATGGTATCACTGATAAAGATGCCTTATGAAATACTGCATAATGATGCTAGTTCCTAGTTTTTAATTATTTATATTGCTGCAGGTGTTAATAAAGGATAGTACTGTTTTTCTGAAGCAAGATGTCTTGTGATGTAAGTGTATTCAAGTACACACAAATACAGTTACATAGATTATCATACACAGCAGCACATATGTAAAGTACCTAGGATAACCCAAAAAAGTCAGTGTTAGCTTTTTCTTGTGTCTTACGGGAACTGTGAGTGTGTATTGAAATCCAATTTTTTTAGTTGAGATTAAGATGTTAGAAATCATCAAACTACATAAAACATTGTGGCTTTTGTTTGCCATTAGTTTGGCTATGTTTTTGAGAAAAATGTCAGACTGTGCCCCTAAATTTAATGTCTTCACACCAAATACATTGTTTATTTCCACTCAAACCACCACCGGTTTCCTGTAAGCTACAGGCAAGTTGTATGCAGTTTAATAAGAATTCCAAAAAAGCATCATACCTACTGGTATCCTCATGATAATCATTCCCTCCACCAATAATGCTTCTTGCTATATTCATAACACCTTTAAAAAGACAAATATACATTTCCCCCATACTGACATTCTCATTATACAAGTTCATTCCTGAAAGTAAAAAAGTCAGAAAAGAGAAGAGGAAAATAACCTTAGGAACCAAAAAGTATTATATAGTATAAGGGAACCAAAAAATATTATATATTATGAGTTGTTGGAGTAATTTAAATCCATAAAACATATGATTATTAATTTAAAAAAAAATGGCTGATCAAGCTTATACAGTATATTGTACAGGAACTTTTACATTAATTTAAAGTGGCACATGACCAGTTGTATTTGTTCTTATCCAATTTATATGAATATATATATATATATATATATATATATATATATATATATAAAATATATATATATATATATATATATATATATATATATATATATATATATATATTAATGCACTACATCAGTACCATATTTATTAGTTTTCTAATTTAAGCAGTTTTAATTTCTTACTACTTGTAATTATTAGTTTAACCCTTAAACTGCAGGAGACCTACAAAAAAATGTGCTGTGTCGAGGCAAAATCTTGAAAAAAAAAAAAAAAAAAACAAAGTAAAATAAATCTGATTACAACTTACCAATTTATGGAAGGCTGAAGTTGGCAAAAAATGATCACTTATCACTAAAGTGCTCATAGCATTTTTTTTTTTTTTTTTAACAAGTCGGCCATCTCCCACCGAGGTAGGGTGACCCTAAAAAGAAAGAAAATCCCCAAAAAGAAAATACTTTCATCATCATTCAACACTTTCACCTCACTCACACACAATCACTGTTTTTGCAGAGGTGCCCAGAATACAACAGTTTAGAAGCATATACATATAAAGATACACAACATATCCCTCACCCCTCCTTTAAAGTGCAGGCATTGTACTTCCCATTTCCAGGACTCAAGTCCGGCTACATAAAAATACATAACAGGTTTCCCTGAATCCCTTCACTAAATATTACCCTGCTCACACTCCAACAGCTCGTCAGGTCCCAAATACCATTCGTCTCCATTCACTCCTATCTAACACGCTCATGCAAGCTTGCTGGAAGTCCAAGCCCCCTCGCCCACAAAACCTATTTTACCCCCTTCCTCCAACTTTTACGAGGACGACCCCTACCCCGCCTTCCTACCCCTACAGATTTATACGCTCTCCATGTCATTCTACTTTGATCCATTCTCTCTAAATGACCAAACCACCTCAACAACCCCTCTTCAGCCCTTTGACTAATACTTTTATTAACTCCACACCTTCTCCGAATTTTCTGCATTATATTCACACCACACAATGCCCTTAGACAGGACATCTCCACTGCCTCCAACCGCTTCCTTGCTGCAGCATTTACAACCCACATTTCACGCCCATATAAGAGTGTTGGTGCTACTATACTTTCATACATTCGCTTCTTTGCCTCCATAGATAACATTTTTTGCCTCCACATATACCTCAATGCACCACTCACCTTTTTTCCTTCATCAATTCTATGATTAACCTCATCCTTCATAAATCCATCTGCTGACACATCAACTCCCAAATATCTGAAAACATTCACTTCTTCCATACTCCTCCTCCCCAATTTGATATCCAATTTTTCTTTATTTAAATCATTTGATACTCTCATCACCTTACTCTTTTCTATGTTCACTTTCAACTTTCTACCTTTACACACATTCCCAAATTCATCCACTAACCTTCGCAATTTTTCTTTAGAATCTCCCCTAAGCACAGTATCATCAACAAAAAGTAACTGTCACTTACCATTTTGTATTTAATTCCCCATAATTAAATCCCACCCCTCTCCCGAACACCCTAGCATTTACTTCTTTTACAACCCTATCTATAAATATATTAAACAACCATGGTGACATTACACATCCCTGTCTAAGACCTACTTTTACCGGGAAGTAGTCTCCCTCTCTTCTACACACCCTAACCTGAGCCTCACTATCCTCATAAAAACAAAAAATTTTTATGTTAATCTCCAGGGTTTATTACCTGGACCTCAGCAATGAGAGTGGCTACTCTCACTGCTGGGCAACGGCAAACAGTGCTTATATATAATATATATATATACACATACATACACACACACATATACATATATATACACATATACATACATACATACATATATACATACATACATACATACACACACACCCCTCTGGGTTTCTATTTTCTTACTAGTTCTTGTTCTGGTTTATTTCCTCTTATCTCCATGGGGAAGTGCAAAAGAATTCTTCCTCTTTAAGCCATGCATGTTTTAAGAGGCAACTACATGCTGGGAGCATGGGGCTAGTAACCCCCTCCCCTGTATACATTACTGGAGTTAAAAAGAGGAACTTTCGGTTTTCTTTTTTGGGTCACCCTGCCTCAATGGGATATGGCTAGATTGATGAAAAAAAAATTTTTTTTTTTCTTCTTGTGCTACTGACTTCTAACAATTCCTTTTCAGAACAAGTGTTTAGCATAACCTACTTCTATTAGTGAGCAATTCTCTCCTGTGACATCAACTCCAGCTGCTTCATCTCACCTCTCTAGCATATAGTCTGACCACATTCTTATGCTTGATGGACTACCTCCTTCCAAAGCCAGTGGTCTGATCACATCAGTACTACTACTGCTGTCTCCAGTATTCTGTATTTGACTGAAGACTGTTGTGCAGGCTAAACATTTCAGCAATAAAGATACCCAAGTGTTGCACATGTATTATTTATCACTAAGTACAAGTAAATCTTATACAAACGATTCAGTGAACAATATCCTTGGAAATATGGGAATGAATCTCAGAGTTTGACACCCTAGTGTTATCCTGAGTAAAAAACAATATACATACATTATAATGTACTCATGTGACCTTAAGACCAGTGTAAAATATGTATGTATGCTATGTACTTAAGGTTAAATAAAAACAAATTTACTCACGTAGCTGCAGAATAGCATGTTGCATACATTGTTGACGTGTCCTGCTGAATTGTTGTTATTCACGATGCAAAGTAGACCTGCCTAGCTCTTACTTTTTTTTCCCCCCCTAGGCCTGACTGGATGGTAGGATACTCAAACACTTAAGCCAAGGCACAAGATATTGGCTGGCATAATATGTGAAGAAAGAAAATTATGAGCAAATTTACTGCAGAGGTCTCTAGCATAATTTTATGGGAGATACAGTTATTTAAGGGTTAAACTTTCAATATATGGTACTGTCCAATGTAAGCATCTGAATTAACATCAGAATATCTGCTAACCTCATGCTATACTGTAACTGTGAATAAATTTAATAAAAATTAAATTTGTAATACTGGTTAGTAAAGAATAAAGGTCACAATGCTGTTCCATAGCTGGAACAATTTGCAACTAACCCTCAAATTAGTAAACAATCCTAAGAGTACATTTCAGTCTGTCCTTGATCCTTATTAAGTCATGACAGTCCTGACTTACTAATAATAAAGGATGGATTGAAAAGTCATTTTCAGAATTAGCTCCATTTGTGGGCTAGTTGTGAAATGCTGGTTAGTGCTAGCAAATGGCTACACACACTATTTGAGTAACCTGCCAGTATTTGACTCACTCGTCCATAAGCAGTAGCATCTTCATCAAGGATAAATTTCTGGGGATAAATATTGTCCAGGTACCATTTGAAGCTTTTACACTGAAGGCGGTTCCTGAGCTCCTTCCTTTCACTTACATCTCCATAATCGGAATGCTGAAAGCAGACAGAGCCGTCACAATTCAGGTATGTCTCTTGTATTATGATGCAAATAAAAAAAAATCACCAAGAATTCAGTTTAGCATACAAGTAAAATGAAAGAAAAATAATCTGTACAATTATTTCAGTCTATCACCTTACCATGTTAAGTTTCACTGTACAATAACTCTAAATAGATGTGTATTAATGATTATCTTCATATTTTCGAAACTTGAGGCAGTGTGAAAATAGAAAGGAGAAAAGAAAATCTAACAAGAATACAGAAAACAGATTAGCAGAAAAGTGGAATTTCAAAATGTGTATCTAATAGTATTAAGTACTGTATTAAAAAGACTTGTACAGTATAAACCACTCAAAGGTAGTTCCTTGCAGCTGATGCAGGGCTTTTGATCCAAGAAACTGAATCTGTGCTCCCCTTGGATCAATCCTGAATGCCTTCCATTCTCCCAGACACTCACTGTATGACCCTCCATGGGTTTAGCACTCCCCCCATGAATGTAATAATAATAATGGCACAGTATAAGACAATAAGGGTCAACCAGTCCATTTCTCTTATATGTACTTCAAATTATGAAAAACTTAATATTTTAGGACATTATGCATAGTACATGCCAAAGCCAAACAATGTAGGAGTTACTTTTCATCAAATTTTACCTCTAATTCAGGTCTGTAAAGATAAAACAGCCGTTTGTAACCATCCATCCATGTTTCTGCCAACCGTGCTGTGTTTAGTCCATGAGTGTCCTTGTTACCTGGGAAGGTATACGGGTGGAAGGAGCGAAATATGTGTCCAACACGGGAGCATGGTATAGTCTCTAATGTACCACCACACATCCATACCTGGTCAAAAAACAGATGATAAAAAAAAGCAATTTAAAAGCATAATAATTTAACTCAATGACCATTACCTATTACAGTAGTGGCCAAAAGAAAAAAGTCTTCACTAGTTCTGTAGCCTCCCTTACAGCATACACTTCATCATGATCCAATCTTGATCCACCAGACTGTAACCTTACAACCCCACTTGAGTGCAAGCACTGCATTTCCCAATCTCAAACTCCATCAATCATATGCCTTACAGTGCCTACATTCCAACAGCTTATCAAATTCCACAGATCACTTGCCTCCACTCAATATTCTTATAATTGCTACTAAGCATAGTGAATACATTATTTCCTGTATCATTTTATGTACTGAATTATCTTTTTCTTAAAATAAGCATTACCATATATAAAATTTGATTAGTGGCACTCCAAACTTGCTATGCCCTCTACAACTCCTCTTCCCATAATAACAAAAATTACTTCCAGAAAAGTCAGCCAACCTACCAAAATGGTTCAGCACTGAGAGCTCAAGACCACACTATGTTTTAAAGGAGGCATAACAGGAGTGATCTCACAGACATTTAAGATAAAGAAGAAGTTGGGTAATTTAAGCTCCAATCACTTCAAGAGGCCCAATGTGATACATATATACAAGGGGCACAAAAATTCAAACTTATGAAACTGCAGTGCATGACAGACAATAAGAAATAATTAGTCTCTCCAAAAAAATTGTAATGTGTCTTAAGTAACATTACCTGTCAAAACCAAAAACTGCTACATTTAAAACTCTACCTCTTGTAGATTGCTTTTTGAACTAAAACAAGTGCAGTTCAGCATTAAAAAGCACATGCAAAATAGGCAGACTTAAGCTACAGACTTAGTGTAAACTTCTAGACCAACAAGTTAATGCAGTACAGGGAAATTACTAAATGATAACAAAATAAATTGTTTTTCATCTTCAGGAATATTGGAAAAAGACATTATAAATAGAAAGAATCTGACACTGTACTTACTCTAAAAGACATCTCTAAGTTCTCTCCACCCCAAACATCCATTCCATCATCATAGCTTCCAATCTCCCAGAAGTAGTTGCGATTGATGGCAAACAACCCACCTGCCATTGTTGGAGATCTGACAAACATAAAGAAGACTGTAAGCATGAAATTATAGTACAATAAGATTCATTTACCATACGTATGAAACAAAACTGAGCATGAATTAACTATACTGTGCATATAATATTTTGTTTATCAGTATTTTTTTAACAATACTGCTACTCATGCTAAGAAAAAAAAACTTTCTGCCAAACTTACTTTCATATTGATCCTGTTTTTATTTCTGAGGCAAAGTCTTTAGTAGAAAATCATATTTGTTGAATAGTGCTAAATGCTGCACGTTCTCATGCGTAATTACATCAAAGTTTCTTTGCATATTGTTTTAAAACAATATTCCAGGTGTTGCCAAGCTATGGTTTACCTGGAGGGTGTTTCAGGGGTCAACACCCCTGCAGCCCGGTCCATGACCAAGCCTCACAGTGGATCAGGGCCTGATCAGCCAATCTGTTACTGCTGGCTGCATGCAACCCGACATTATGAACCACAGCCCAGCTGGTTAGGAATTGACTTAACCAGTTGTGCCAAAGAGACTCAAGCTTGCAAGCTATATGCAAACTGCTCATTTAGTGCGAGACAACATCCAGTGAAGCCAACCTTGATATTGTCTTATGAACTGCGCTTAAGGAACAAACATGCCAGGTATAATTTTCCCATTTTTAACATTTGCTAATTAATTCATCATTCAACTGGTTTTCACAAACTGATCCTTTGTGCCAATAGAATCAAACTCGTCAAATCCTATTCTTCAAAGAGTGTGTAATTACCTGTCATTGCTGTACCATACCATTTGTAGCTACAGACGCAAAGCTAAGCTCATCCTGTCCTGTCTTCAGTATTTAGTCTATCATAAGTCTGTAAAAGTTTTCAGTAGTTGCAGCACTGGCAACCACCTCTTATGAACCATAACACTGTTCTGCCATGCTATTTGCAAAGAAAAACTTCTTTTTATAGCCTTTCTGCTAGGTCATGGAGTTAGGAAGCCTTTACAGTGGTCCCCCGCATAACGATTACCTCCGAATGCAACCAATTATGTAAGTGTATTTATGTAAGTGCGTTTGTACGTGTATGTTTGGGGGTCTGAAATGGACTAATCTACTTCACAATATTCCTTATGGGAACAAATTCGGTCAGTACTGGCACCTGAACATACTTCTGGAGTGAAAAAATATCGTTAACCGGGGGTCCACTGTATTTTCATTTCTATTATATCCTTTTATAAACCTAATTGTGGTATACACAAGTGAATGTTTCAGCAAATGAAAATATGTAGCAATGTGTTAGAAAATTAACCTAGGTGAAATTGAACAAAACTAATATTGGTCTATGTACAGCTCAGTATTACAAATACAGTGTACTTAAAATACTGTACAGTATAACACAAAGACAAATTTACATAACTTCAAATCCAAACGTCGTTATAAAAAGATACACTTCTGTGTCACAAGTCATCCTCACCTTGTCGGGCCAACTGGACTACCTCTTCTGCGTTGTTCCTCGGTACTAATATCTATCCATGTAAAATGTCCACTCCAGGTAAATCCACCGACCTAACAAGAGAACGCCATAGTCAGTGTTAGGTTACCAGCAATAATCATATTTTATATAACAAATCTGTTGTTCAGCAGGCAGTATACATGTATATTGTTGACAAACAGTATATACAAGTGAGAGGTAGTAAGGCAGAGTAGGGTTCGGTAAAATAATCTTGGAATTGCACACAAAACCTACCTTACAAGTAATAGTGCAGGTGGCAATATTTTATGGATTGGCAGAATTAAAAGCCAGGAAGTCACATAATAAAACTAATTAGCAGATGTTTTGGTTGATTTGGTTATTATTGTGAGATAAGATGATTTTTTAGCAATTAATTTGGTGCCACAATCGCTAGAAATTAACAAAAATGGTAAGCAAATGTCATAATGCAGAAATCATGCTTAATAATGACCCTTCACCATGTTAACATGCAGCCATTGTTAACTTATCTATCAAATTGAGGAGTGAGGATTTATAGTATTATTAACTTTACTTCATGCAGTAGTAGTTTTTAAACTAAAGTAAGTGCAATATATAATATATAATCAAGAATATAAAGTGAAGCATCCAGGAAATACATTTATCAAAAGGATGAACTATATTTCTTGATGTCGTTGAAATTTAAATTAAAAATGGAAATTGTTATAGTCAAAGGGATGCAGCAAAGCAGTGAGGATCACACAGTGCCTTGGGAATGGGACGTAATCAGGTTTGATCTGAGGAAGGAGGTCATTCCAACTCCTCATATCAAGAATCCTTTACCATCGAGGCACTCCCCTCCCCCCTCCATGAAGGATTAAAAAATTTTGCACCAGAGACAATGCCCTCACTAATGATGTCATGCTCTTCTATACTAAGTTAGTTTATGGCTACAGATTTGCCATTTACTTAGAACACACTACCTGAAAATAGCGTCCATTGCCGTGGTAGTACTCAAGTGTCTTGTCATCAATAACATCAATGATGGGAACAAGAACAGCAGAGCGGCTCTCCTTTATTCTTTGGAGTAATGGTTCCATCCTGAAATATTTATTCTCTTCATACACTGCTCACTATATAACCACCTAACTTGCAGTTCATTATATTAATTTGTTATGATCATTGACTTGAAGATTTTAAGAAGATCAGGAGGCCCAGCTCTGTATTACGACTCACCACTACAAAACAAATTAGGAAATGCAATTACTGCATCATCACTGTGGGGATGTGCTAAACCCTTAGAGATTGTACAGTTCTGGCGAATAGGAGGTACAGTGGACCAAGGCGAATTTGCAGTTTCGAATTTGCAGCTTCAGTAATTCGCGGATTTTTCCTTAGAACTAATAATTGTTCGTGAAAATCCCCGCAAATTCGCGGAATTTTTTTTTTACTTTTTTCGTGGCAGTACAGTACATTTTTTTTTTAAGGGTGATGTATGAAGCTAAGTTTGAAATTAAAGTGTTTTGGGGACATATGTAGGGTTTAAACTATAAAAATAGGCATTTATATGAATTTTTTTAATCGTGTCCAGATTTTGCGGTTTTTCCAAATTCATGAGTGGTCTTGGAATGTAATCCCCACAAATTTGGGGGGACTATTGTAATCAGGTTTGCTCCATAGAAAAGGGAGACTAGCTCAAATTCTTTGGATAAAACCCCTCACCAGCATCAAGATACAGTAGACCCCTGGTTTTTGTAATTAATCCATTCCAGAAGGTTGGCTGAACTCCAAAATGGCCGAAAACTGAAGTAATATTTCCCACAAGAAAGTGTAAATCCAATTAATCCGTTTCAGACACCCAAAAATATTAACAAAAAATACATTTTATAGAGAATAACTATAGCTTTACATACAGAAAACAATGAGAAATAAATACAAATGACTAATTTTAATGATAAATGAACATTACATACCTTTATTGAAGACTCTTGTTGGCAAGTAGTATTTATCTGTAGTCCCAGGCAGACTACATCCCAGGTGTATACCTGCCGGCTACATAAGCTGCAGCCTACACCCATATTATTACCATCGACATACCATGTTCACTGAATTTAATCATTTCTAACAACTACCTTCAGATCTCATCATAAACAAAGGGAGAAGTAATGAATAATTCATGCCGAGAATTGTAAACAAAGCCTTGTGTATTAAGGGCAGTTACTGGGTCAACGCAGATCCATACACGTTTTCTCTGAAGCTGGACCAGAGAAAACATAACGTTTACCCAACGCGTTTCTTATATAATTTTGAAGAAAATATCATAGATTAATGAAAATGTCTATATTAATGTAAAATAAGACATTTAATGTGCCCAAGAGTGATTATTATTACATATCAGTATTATTACTATGGCATTAAGACTAAAGGGGCACTCTTAGTGAACGAGTAACAAAGGCATCTTTATATGCTTTGTAATGTGTTTCTTATATAATTTTGAAGAAAATATCATAGATGGATTAATGAAAATGTCTATATTAACGTAAAATAAGACATAATGTGCCCAAGAGTGAGTCACGAACAAATGAGTGGCCAGGCAGATGAGTCTGGTACCAACAATTTCCAAGGGGATGTACGAAACCCAGGGGGAAATTTCGCCGAAAAAACTGCTCGAAATCTGAAATGTACGATTTCCGCACCGGCAGAAAACTGGGGATCCACTGTAGTTCCCTTAAAGAGTAGAGAAAGTAATGCATCTCCTACTTCCTCTTCTGTACTAGAAATTGCTTTCATAATGTACCTGAAGATAAATGGACTTACTGCTGCTTCCAGTTCTGGCTTTCTTCAAGCAGTAATTAAATTACAATCATACAAATTCTGAAAAGTAAAATTATGGTTAGATTACATTTTACTTTCCCCTTTGACAGAGAGAGAGGTTTCATGCCATGGTGAAGAGGGCTTTTGATCCAAAGGATTAGACTTCTTTCCTTCCCCGGATCAAATCCAACTCCCTCCAACCCTCCCTCCCCTTTTGGTTATATTATCAGGATATTTATCTCTTTGTGAAATTCAGCTCTTGGAATGAGAAGGAATCACTACTGGCTCTGTTATAATACAGTTTTTGGTAATAGCACTGTGATATACCTTTATATCTTTGAGATACCTTAGATGAATTTCAAGAGTTTCTACTCCTGGAGCCATGCCATGGGCCTGGCTCGTCTTGTGCTAGCCTGGTTGTTCTGGCACCTGGTGAAGATGTTTGTCCAGTTTCCTCTGTAAAGACTTCTACACTTATTCCAGCAGTGTTTCTGATATCTTTTGTTAAGATGTTGAATAATACATGTCCAGGGATATTGATACAGTGTTCCTTAATTGTGGCCACTGCAACCCTGCTTTTCACTGGTTTTATTTTGTACTTCCTCTCATATCTCTTGCTCCATTATGTTGTTATGGCAGTGTGCAAATTTGGGAATAGGCCCTCGAATACCTTCCATGTAGGGTCACTCCACTCACTGGAAACTGAATCATGCTAGGATATGTCAGGTGGCCTACTGATGAGATACTGAATGGCCATATGGACAAGGCCTCTGATGGCAGAAGTATTATTGGAAATTTTATTATTATTATCACACTGGCCGATTCCCACCAAGGCAGGGTGGCCCAAAAAAGAAAAACTTTCACCATCATTCACTCCATCACTGTCTTGCCAGAAGGGTGCTTTACACTACAGTTTTTAAACTGCAACATTAACACCCCTCCTTCAGAGTGCAGGCACTCTGAAGAATTTAAAAGCGGCAACCTAGTGTATGACTCCTGGCGCTAAAAGACGATTGCACCTGGAGTATACCTGGAAAGGCTTTCGGGGGTCAATGCCCCCCCAGCCCGGTCTGAGACCAGGCCTCGTGGTGGATCAGGGTCTGATCAACCAGGCTGTTACTGCTGGCTGCATGCAAACCAATGTATGAACTACAGCCTCGCTGGTCAGGTACTGACTTCAGGTGCCTGTCCAGTACCTTCTTGAAGGCAGCCAGGGGTCTATTAGTAATCTCCCTTATGTATGCTGGGAGTCAGGTGAACAGTCTTGGGTCTGGAGTAACACTTATTGTGTTGTCTCTCAGTGTACTCGTGGCACCCCCTGCTTTTCTGGTGGAATGTTGCATCTCCGGCCGAGTCTTTTGCTTTTGTAGGGAGTGATTTTCGTGTGCACATTTGGTACTAATCCCTCTAGCATTTTCCAAGTGTATATTATCATGTATCTTTCTTGCATGCATTCCAGGGAATACGAATCAAGGGACTTAAACCATTCCCAGTAATTTAGGTGCTTGATCGTGCTTATACACTCTCCAGGTCAGCAATTCTGCCTGCCTTGAAGGGGGCAGTTGGTGTACAGCAGTATTCCAGCCGCCTAGAGAGAACAAGTGATTTGAAGAGAATCATCATGGGCTTGGCATCCCTAGTTTTGAAGGTTCTCATTTTCCATCCTGTCATTTTCTAGCAGATGAGGTAGATACATTGTTGTGGTTTTTGAAGGTGAGATCCTCTGAAATTATCACATTAGTTTTTCGCTCTATTATGTCATTAGAATCTGTTGTATACTCTGATGCAGTCTTAATTTTCTCAAGTTTTCCATATCTGAGTAGTTGAAATTTTTCTTCATTGAACTTCATATTGTTTTCAGTGGCCCATAATATAGTTCAACAGATTTTTGATAACCATGAATTTTCCCCTCTCGGTATACAAAGCAGGTCAATGTCTGACAGAAAGTGTGTTCAAATCAATATAGCAACAATGCCATAAATGGTGGCACTATGGCCACTCTGCAAAGTATTGCAGGTCACAGGAAGAATGTCCAACCTGTGGAGAAACAACCTATTAATTATTTATCATGTGCTCAGTCCCCTCCTATAAATACATATATATATATACATAAAAGATGAGAAGACATTCACTTAAGGAAAACTGCCCCATTGAATGCATAAGGCACCTCACATCACCGAGACACAAAGACGTAGGAAATGCAGAACCTCGATCCTCTATAATGGATTAACCCTCTGAACTTGCCGACAAGACTGGGGAGTACATGTATAGTGTCATGGTACATAACACAAGTATTGGCAGCAACTTAAGGCTTAATAATCCCATACCCATGTAGTATATTGTTTCATTGCTTAGTTGACTAAACTCACAGGTGATGGACAGGCGAGTGCAGTCAAGAGCATTTTGTTAATTAAAGAGTACAGTGGTACCTTGACTTACGAGTGCCCCAACTTACAAATTTTCTGAGTTACGAGCCATTGCTCGGTCGATTTTTTGCTTTGAGTTGTGAGCCAAAATCTGAGTTATGAGTGAGCTTCAGATACTCCACCACAAAACAAAAAACAAATGAAAAAAATATTTACTAAGAATGACATTTGGCAAGAACCCCGGCCTAAATGGCACAACGAGAGGTGGTTTTGGGGCTTGGTACTTATAAAACAATGCTAGTGCGATGTTCTCACTGGAGGTAATCGTGTAATTATCTTTAGTTATTCTAAAAAAAATAAAGGTGCTAAGTTTTTGACATTTGCAAAATATCTTGCCCTTTACTCCCCAAAAAATCCCAAAATACAGTGGACCCCCACATAACGATATTATTTCAATCCAGAAGTCTGTTTGGGTGCCGTTATAGACCAAATTTGTTCCCATAAGAAATATTGTGAATTAGATTAGTCCATTTCAGACCCCTAAAAATACACCTACAAAAGCACTTACAAAAATAAACTTACATAATTGGTCGAGTTGGGAGCTGATCGTTATCCGGGGGTCCACTGTATTTGGAATATTTCCAATATTCTACAAGCCAATTGTAGAAATCATTTTTTTATGATTCCCTCTCAAAAACACATTATAGGAAGGAGCAGTAATAGTTTTATATGCTCGGACTGATCCTGGACATTCACCATATTATGGCCTATTTTATTCATTCTAGAGTATATATCATGTTTATTATGTCATATTGGATCAATTCTGATAGATATATAAGCTGTAGAGTTGATACTAGCATTACATTGGGGTGATTTTTCGGGGGCTGGAACGGATTAATGGCATTTCAATTAATTTCAATG